ATGTCTTGTGTTGTAGATGATTGTGATTGCATTGTTGACATTTATTATGCTAACCCGTTTTTCAATTTTGTCTGATGTTTTGTATAACAATAGTTAAGTTTGGGTTGTATAATATTTTTCTTAGGCATATGTGAAACAACTTAAGAAGTTGTTGTTATGTGTCTGATTTAACATACTTTATCAATTCAATTCTATCAGGATCTAATTATAAGTTTATTTGGTTGTTGGTTTTGATGATAATAACTATGAGGTGCTAAACTCCATGCCCGATACATTTTCTTCTTAGGCATAAATCTGTATTTCTAAAGTGGGAATGACTTGCAGTGCTTTATAATGCTAGGATGGCAGTTGGCAACTAATGTAGGCTCAACATTGCTTTATTGATATCTAAATACATAGAAATTAGTGGTATGTATGTATATGCTCCTTTGTATTTGCTCTGCATTGCTTTATTGAAAGGTATAAAAGGCATTGATTTATAAAGAAAGGCATTGGCTTTTTGAAAAAAGAAATTGGTCTTGATTTGTGTTTTGGTAGTCGTGATGATCTTACCTTTACTTCTTTGTAATTTAGTTTGTGTTATTTCACATATGAGTAAACACATAAATACATGTCCATGAGAATCTTGCTTCCAAGTATGTGCATTTTGATCTTTCTTTATCTATTCAAACTCGAATCATACTAACTGGTTCCTATCAGATTTGATTGCGAGATAAGGAATTGATCTGTTTTTCTAATGATCTTTGAGGCAAACACGAGATTGATTTGATGTTCTTTGAGGCCTTTTGTAATCGATGCTTGGTAAAAATATGAGCATAGCAGTGAACATGCTTTCTGGGTGCTTGATGTTTTACATGCAGATGAGATGGCTTGGTTTTGTTGTTCTTGTATGCCAACTTGGGCCTTGCTTCAATGGCTGCTTTAACTATTTGAATTGCTTTAGCCTTTGGCAATTATAGTGGTAAATGTTGATTTAGCCTTTGGTAACTTTAAGTACTTCATTGGTTGCTTCAGCCGTTGGTACACTTTTTGGTAATCTCTAGAAAGGTTGGGGCATTTGGACACATTACTAATCAAAAGCTGCTTTTATAGTGGTTGTTATGGTTGGTGTTATACTTCCTGTTATAGTTGTTGTTATAACCCAAAAAATACTTACAAAATTGCACTTCAAATGGTTGTTGTTATAGTTCTTGTTACAGATGCTTTGTAGTTTGATACTTACAATTAGTGTTAGTACTTGTCTATTATTGTTATTGTTGATTTTTGATATCGTGTGTATATTTTACAAATTAATGGTGATATAGATGGATTAAATAAAAATGAAAATTTTAGAAGTTGGTGAAAACATTCTTAAGAGTTTTACTTGAAGTTTTGGTTTATTAAACTTGTTAGCAATTGAATATGAATTTGTTTATGGCTCGTTATTGGGATGCTATTTACCTTGGTATATGGCTTTGTTAGAGGTTCTTGCAATTGTTGGTTGTTGATTAACATATCGAGAGATGATGACTCTGGATTTCAGTTGCTCCATAGGTGGTTTTTGTTTGTCTTCTGATTTATGTCACAGTTGTGTATGGGTCATACTCCGCTTGAACATGAGAATGACAAACTATAAATAGATGTTTTGAAGCATTTCCTTATGATTTTATCTTTTTGGATTTTAATTTAAAATTGGGCATGTTGATCTTATGCATATTTACATTAGATATTTTGAATCGCATAACAGTAATTTAGATGGATTTGTTTGTTTATTGAAGTCTAAATTTTACAAGATAATGATGGGCATTTTTGGTGCAACATATATTTTGATGCATTTATTTTAAAAGAGATGGGCATTCAATCCACCTCAACTATTTACTTCCTACTTGAATTTTTCTCTGTGGGCATTCAACCCACAATGGTGATGGATGAAATTAAAGTTTTTTATTGCATTGTTTTCTAAGGCCGTGTGAACTTTTTTGGATGATTTATACCAATTGCTTTCCATGTTAATTTGAATATGATGATTAGTTCATATTTCTACTGATTTTTCTCTTTTGGTCGGATTATCGGTTGAGCTATGATGTTCTCCATTTATTGCATCAAAATTCAACCATACATGTAAATGCTTGTGGTGCTAAAAATTTTTTAGTGTGTGAAAGGTATTTTAATGGCTTTTCATGAGGTAAGTACTGAGCTCAATTTCTATTTAATTTTGAGTTTCTTCTTTTGCTTCTGTGTTGTTGTAGCTCTTTTTCTAGTGGTGTTTTGTGTCTTGCTTTTCGAGTGCTTATCTTAGATTTTTGGCAACCAAGATCCTTAGCTATTTTTTTTGTATATGCAACGAATATTGTTATTTTTGTGAAAATCATTATTGTACAGGAACGTATCATTGAAAATAAGCTCAAGCAATTCAACATGCGCTAAGGGGACCAAATATCAACTGGTTTTCTGTGATTGCAGTCTGTGCGTCATTTTCACAGCTCAAGAAGGGGACAATGTTGGACCAAAATTTTACAGAAGTACAAAGAATTTAACAAATAGAGATTGTGAATTTTTTTAGTGGGTTGATGAAGTGAGAGATGTACCATAGGAGCGAGCTAACAAGAGAATATATGCATTTGATGATACGGTGAAAAATTATATTAGAGACTTGAAGTTTCTTATGAAGACTTTACTCTTTTCGATTTTGTGATTGTAGCATTGCTTTTATTATTGTTAGTATTGCATCTGTTTTGATTACGTATTTGTATTCAAGAGAACAATTTGTATTGTAGTAGATTTCTATTTTGTAAACAAACTTATTTTTTGGTCAATTTGATCTATCATAATTAATTGTGATTTTATTGCTATTGGAAGGCATAATTTGATTATTTCTTATGATTCGGTTAATGTCCAACTCTATTTAGTTTATAATATTGTTCTGATTGAAAATAATTTGATAACTTGTCAGAGGATTTATTTCACAGGAGGCACTTTCATAACATTGTTTTCCAAACAATTTAAATCGAACTGTGTTTAGATACTTAGAGGCATTACAGTCATTATGTCAACTGACAACACTTTCAAAATTGTGTTTATCAAACAGACAAACTACTTCTGAAACACTAAAGTCTAAACAACAGCTTTTGAAACCAATTTTTCTACAGCTACAGCCGAAACAAACACACCATTTATACGCCCTTTGATTATTTAATTTTAATCCAATCCACCTATCTTGTTTGTTCATATTTTTCTTTCAACGCTTCATGCTTATATATAAACTAAAAGATAGCGCGCGCACACACACACAGATATATATATATATATGTATGTATGTATGTATGTATACATGCATATATATATATATGTATGTATATATAGGTAGTATTTTTCATTTGAGCACTTAATAGGTGATATATGACAAACCACATGTTTATTACTATGATGGTAGATGATAAGAGCTACATTTACTTTTTCATAAAAAAAAAAGGAAAATAAAAATTTCAATAATTGGAACGCATTAAATTTAAAACTATTTACTTACAAATTTGTGTCATTGAACCTCTCATTGGGTGTTTCTTACCCTTCTACTTTTGACCTCTGAAAAGTAATACTCCGGAATTGGAGCCTATCTTAACTAAATTTTTAAATAGCAATCTTGAGAAGTTAACTTGAAAATCTACACAAAAAAAAACATGAAACCCATATTTTTGAGTGACTTCTTAGGAATTGAACTCCCATAGAGTATAATTAACGATGGAGTTTGCCCCTATATGAAACTTATATCCTAAGATAGAATAAATCATTTCTTACCCAAACCGAGTAGGGAAAATATTTGAAAACGTAGACTTTGAATCCTAATATCACTTATTTTACATGTATATATATTGCGGAACAATAATTTATCATTTGAGATGATATATCGTTCACACTATTTTATTGAATCCTAAAACTAAAAATTTCATCTCATGCATGGTCTATATCAACTATTCTATGTGCATAGCCTTATTTTATCTCCAAGCCTACATTATTTGATCATTGTAATTTAGTTAACCATGTAACAACAAATAGATAAGTATTCATAACTTTGCAACCTTATTTTTAGTTATAAAGAAGAGTAAAATTTTACAACTACAAATGCATAATAAATTATTTCAATGGGCTATACCTCATGATTTTCTCTTTTTAGACGTTCTACATAAAAAATTATGTTCGACTATTCTCACTTTTATATGTTTGTGTGCAGGATATTACTACTTTACAAAGACTTAATTTTCTTTCCTTTTCATTGAAATTTGTTTTGTATGTAACAATTTGATGTCATTTACGAAAAAAATATTCTAGAATAAGGGCCTCTTTAGGACCTCTTTGTGTCTGCTTTTCTTTTTAGACCACTGCCACAATACTGTTTGAAGATCTGATTTCTTGTTGTTTTATAAAAAATATTTTGTGATAGAAAATTATTTTTTTAACATGAGTTGTTAAGATGTAAAGGTTGTCATAAAGCTGCGGTCTGATCTTTTGAAAATAAAATAAAATTATAATATATTTTGTGATAGAAAATTATTTTTTTTAACATGAGTTGTTAAAATGTAAAGACTGTCATAAAGCTGTGGTCTGATCTTTTGAAAATAAAATAAAATTATAATAACTACTACATCTTTTTGAAAAACAGTTTCTTCTACAGCAGTTTCTTCAAACAGCTTTAACAGCCCAAACAAACCACATCTTTTTGAAAAACAGTTTCTTCAAACAGCTTTAACAGCCCAAACAAACCCCAAGAGAGAATTCATACTGCAATCTTGAATGGGCATATCAATTAACACATTAACCTAACAGTGTTAACATTTTCATAGAAAAAAAAATTAAAATATTCTTATTTTTAATAAATAACAAATCTTAATTTTTTAATTATTTAAAAAAAAAACAAAAAAAAGGCACATCAAGACAATTTGAATCAACCAATGTAGCAAAACATTGTGGAACCAAATCAAAACCCACAGAGAGACATGCCAAAAACAAATGCAACTCCTTGTGAAGCAAATCAAATGGTGACATAAACATGTTTACTTTGTTCTCTACAAAATATGTAGCAGGCTGGATATAGAGTACTCAACTATATAAGCCTTTATTTATTTTAATAAATTTAGCTTTATTTTAAGAAAATGTCTCCTTCAAAGGGGAAAAAAAATAAGCCAGATTCTGAAAAGAACTCACTGTACTTCCTCCTTATCCCATATGCATCTTCCAGCTTCACTTCCTGTAATCCATCCAAAAGTTTGGGCTTCACAAAGCTGCCATGAGTCCAGAACTAACACTTCTTCTGCAATTGCCCCTCCAGAAACTGAACTATCCTTCCCTACTACACCAGTTGACATTAGACAGTAAAGCAGGAAAGGAGTAAAAAATTCATGGGCATTTACATATATACCGCGCGCAATTCTTTATTTATTTACAATTTTAACATCCTAGTACTTCGTCTCGCATCAAAAATACCACAATTTTAAATTGAAGTTACACATACAGCTTTTCATGTACAAGTAAGATGGGCATGGGCATGTCTGTAAGAATTACTATTTAGATGGTAGATAAATAAATACATGAGAATTCATTGGTATGTATGTAAATCTTCCTCTTTTAATAAATGTTCATTCTGGAGAGAAGCCAGAACAGAGCAAAACTCTAGGAAAAAATTTGCGTACGATAGACGTAGGCAGCGCTGCGTACGATTTCTCGGTATAACGGGGTTATATCCGCGGTATAACCCCTTGTAAACTCCCACCCCCTTTGCTTAATGAGAAATAAACAAAATTTGCTATTTTAGATCCACGAACATAAAGGCCTTCTCTAGCAATAATAATTATAAATTTCATGAATAAATAGTGCTGATGTTTTATAATAAAAATAAGGGATAATTACATAAAAACCACCCAAAACATTGATACCTACAAATTAAACATCCAGGTGCTTTTTTGCACTACCGAACCTATGTATTTCCGTGTGCCACGATCAAACTATTGAGAATTTTGTTAATCGAGTGAGAATTTGAAAAATGGATGAAAGAGGGTGGTGGATTTATAAATAGCAAGTTTCGGGTGGTCTGCAATAGAATCTCAATCAATGTAAACTGATCAAAGCTGAAAGCGCTACGCATAAAAACCATCGGAAGTTTCACACCCAAATATTGCACATCAAGTCAAAAAGAAAAGCGTATCCAAGCATAAGTTTAACTCATGAAGCAAAGAATATAACGTGCAATGCCAACATTGATAGCCTTTTTCATGATTATAGACCTTTCTGCATGAAACTCATACCCATTTTATAAAAAAAACAATACATTGTGTTCTTTTAATAAAGTTTATGAAAATCAGAATCTAGTGAATAACATCATTAGGTGCTTGTTTTCCACATGAAAGTGATCCAAAGATCATGATCTTTACTAAGGTCAAAGATTTTACATTTACCACCAAATACCCACCAAAATAATTCATATCACATAAAAAATACAAACATTTTAAATTTTAAAAAGTGAAATGCACTTTTGATGCATAGGTAAGATGGCATGTATGTGAAAGTCGAAGTTTAGGTATTAGATATGTTAAACATAAGATTTGAGTGGAAAGTATGTACATCTTCCAGCAAAATTCGCGGGCACATTCATGAGATTAAGAACTTGACGAGCATACTTGATATAAATAACAGTGAGGCTATACTGATATTTCAAATTTGTTTGATATTCAACTTGAAAGAAAAGCTAAAAGTACAACAACAACAACACCATAATCCCACTAAGGGGGGTCGGCTACATGAATCCTTTTCCTCTATTGCGACCTATTTAGTGTCATATTTTCATTTAATTCTAATAAATTAAGATCATTTTTATACAATAAGCCCCAGTCTTCCTAGGTCTTACATCTGTCTTTCTTAACATAAGTCGAATATACTCTCCTAATCAGATCATCGGATGATAAAATATCAGTAAATAAGAAAAGCTACAAGTAAATAAGAATATTGTTGAGAAAGAAATCCAGTCGCAGTAGGTAAAGTTCATTTGTCTAAGACCAAAGAATAAGTCCACGGAAATCATAGAACCAACCATGAAAGAGAATTAAGTTTATTAAGAATAAATAAAGTCAATTTATCAGTCATTCATACAGCACCAGTTCATAACAACTAGAGCAAGATCAGTGCTTGCGCTTTAGAAACACGCCAGAAATTAATTGTGGTAATCTAAACTATCAAAACAAGCATTTTTCTTCTAAGGAGCTTCATATATTCAAAACCAACAAGCTCTAATCTGCGTAAAAGGAATTCTTGAAAAGAATTTATTTAAAATACAATTACCACATGAAATGGCAGTAATGCACCAACAACCCCGCCAAAGATTACCGCCATCACAAGAACATTAAAGCCATGTTATAAAGGCTCAGCAAAGATTTCAACAACTTTCGAAGAGGTGGATGTAGAGAAGATAGGATGGTCTACTTGCGAAAGAATGACTACTCATTAATGGGCGAGCTGCTAAATTTTATGCATTCACGAAGGAGGCGAACCAGCCAAAGTTGGAAAAAGGACGAACAAATGAGTGGTAAAGCGAGACAAGTGCAAGCAAAAATGGGATTAGGGGCCGAAGAAGGGATACCGAAGCGGAAAATCATGCAATCGCCTCTTTTAAAACTATTTTGGACATTTTCAATTGTAAAACAGTGGAATACAGTGAGGAAGCGGTAGAGAATTTGCGATCTGAAATAGCCAAGAAATGCCGTTCCGGTTGAAGCAACATTAAAAAAAGTTGCTATATCAAACAAAGGAGAAGCATTTTGTCAGCATTATCTGCAATGGAAAGAAGACAATAAGCATTCTCAAACGAGCCCTTAGCCTAATGCCTGCACAAGGAGATAGCAACTCCTAAAACTTTAAGTTCCATTTTTATCGAGAAGTTTAATCTTGAAATTATAATTACACACTCAAAGTAAAATTTTAATCAGCTAATAAATATTTTTGCACAAGCTTCAGGCCATTAATTCTAAAAGATAACCTAGGATGCAGCCACTAAAAAGGCTGAACTAATTTTATCAATTCTACAAAAGAAATTTCTGATAAAGAAAACAACTGCAAAAATCATCCAAGAAACAGAAGTAACAAAACTCCCTCATAAAGCCTCAATTGCAGAAGTTGCCACTCATCGATCAACAACGAGAACAACAAGCCTTTTATCCCACTATGGGATCGGCTACATGAATCATTTTTCTCTATTGTCTCCTATTGAGTGTCATATTTTCCTTTAATTAAAATAAGCTAAGATTATTTTTCATACAACATGCCCACGTCGGTTTCCCTTTATCTTTCTTAGCATAAGTCAAATCTAAAACATCTACTCTCCTAACCAGGTCGTTAGATGATCGACTCTTAATGTCACTAAACCATCTAAGGCGGCTCTCTAAAATCTTGTCAACCACTGGAGCTACTCCAACCCTTTCACAAATAAATTTGCTTCACATTTTGTTTCATAGTGTAAAACCACCCATTCACCTGAGCATTCTCATGTCAACAACATTTAACTTAATTTTATGCTTCTCTTTCACAGGCCAAAACACTGCGCCATAAAGCATTGCAGATTTCACCACAATTTTATAAAATTTTTAAGTTTTAAGTGGTATATCACACAATGAGCCCGATGTATTCCTCCACTTCAACCATCCAACTTGAATTTTACTAATAGCATCCCCATCTATACTACCATCACTTTGAACAATAGTCCTGAGATATCTAAAACGTTCACTCATTTTTAATGACTTGATCACCCATTATTACAAGCCAACCACTATATCAACTATTTCTATTCTATGTATTCGGGTTTATATCTACTCAAACGGAAGTCTGCAAACTCTAAGTTGACTTTCATAATAAAATTTTTCCTGAACTCTCTTTAGTCTTATCCACAAGAAGGATATCATCAGCAAAAAACGACACTGAGGCACATACTCTTGTAAATGTCCACTAAAAGCATCCATAATTAAAGCAAAAAAGATAAGGACTTAAAAGAAGATCTCTGATGTAATCCAGCTAAAATAGAAAATTATTTGGTCAATCATCCTTGTGTTCGAACACAAGTCACAGCTCTAATATAGACATCTTTAATAACTTGAATATAAGCAATATCAACACCGATCAAAGAATAACAAAAAAAATTAAGGAATCATAGAAGTCTAACAGAAGGATATAAATGAAAGCTACATATGTTGATCTTAGCTATAATTCCTTTCATGGGAATCGACCACAAAATGGGAATATCCTCTAGCCCCTATGAATAAGAGATCAGCAAAGGGGAATCCATCAGTTCACTTAAAAAGATTTACATACAAACCACTCAAATCTTATGTATTTATATATCTAACACACAAACTTCAAATTTCACATATATGTCGTTTTACCTATGCATGAAAAGGTGTATTTCACTTTCTATAAGTCAAAAAAGAGATTTTTTTTTATGTGATAACAGATTTTCGGTGCTATAAATGTAAAAAAGTAAAGTTTAAGTGTTAGATAGATAAATGCATAAGAATTGGGTGGCATGTATCATGTATGTAAATGCCCCAAAAAAATTACATACTTAACGTACTGCATTTAATCAAATGTTTGAACATTTATATAAGTGATTGAATATACTGAGTTATCCAATCAGGAAGCACAAGCAAACATTCTTTATTATAATTAATTTCTATGTTTAGACATTTAATTTGATAACTGATAGCAATCTGCTTCAAAGGACTCCTAAATTCATTAGATAGCATAATTATGCAACGACGCAAGTTAGAAGAAATCACAAACCTATTGGGACTCCTATGGATTTCAGTAAAAAATTACAATCAGTAAGAGAAGATATATCAGTTAAAAAAGGTAGATATCAAAGATTGGTTGACAAGTTTATTTACCTGTCACACACCAAACCTAATATTGCTTACTATATCGGCATAATGATTCATGAACAATCCAAATGAAAAATATATAGAGATTGCTTACGGAATATTGAGGTTTCTTAAGAAGAATCCTGACAGAGAGTTATTATTCAAGAAATCTGACAATATAAATGTAGAGGATTATACTGATTCTAGTTGGGCAGGAGAACTCACAGACAGAATATCCACCCCTAAGCATTGTTCCTATGTCTTGGTAAATCTTATCACATAGAGGAGCAAGAAGAAAGCAGTGGTCTCTAAAAGCAGTCCAAAATCTAAGTATCGAGGACTTGCTTTGATAATTTGTGAAGGAATGTGAACTAAAAGGGTACTAAATGAGTTGGGATACTCCACATTCAATCCCATATATATATTTGGTGACAGTCAAGCCATCATTAGTATTGTAAAGAATCTTGTGCATCATGACAGGACCAAGCACATTGAGATTAATAGACATTTCATTTCTAAGATAGTCAATGGAGGCATTATTCACTTAATCTACATTTTGACTCATCGTCAAGTTTTTGAAGTCTTCACGAAATCTCTACCTCATGACAGCTTCATTGATTTGAATACCGAGCTGGTTATTTACAACATCTATGACCCAGCTTAAGAGGAAGTGTAGAAATTTGTGTTTCCTAATTTAGATTTATTCTTTTCTTTTTTCTTTCCTATTATGTTGTATTTCTTTCCTTGTGGTTGATATATCTTTGGCAAGGTGTAATTATAAGAATTATGTTTTGCCCTACATTTTATCCATTATATGAGGAGAGTTATTGTAATTTTTTTATTAAGGAATAAGAGAATATTTTCTCTCATCCTTCAAGATGTGTCCCAAACATGACAACCTAGAAGCCCAAGCATGACTTGGGATGCATCTACATTTATACTAATGAATCAAATAAAACTTCCAAAAGAATGCTAATAAACTGAAAATTGGATACCCTTGAGACTTGAAAAAGTGGTCATGTTCAAAATCTAAAATCCACTAAAATAAGTTAGCAAAGAATAATACTTGGTTCCATTCTAGACGAACAAGGTCTGCCCTGTGCCAGTGCTTACCTAACTGATTGCCTTACTAATTATCCACGTTAAGACGAGCAGCCTGTAACAACCGATTCATAAACTCATACTCATTGTAGCAAATGTTAATCACATACAGCGTGTATGCACTTCTAGAGAGAGAATTTAAAATTTACAAGCTTAAAAGGAGAACAGCAACCTAATTCTTTTGCCACCATATGATACACAAGTAGAGGCCTATGTTGAATAGAAATAATTAAAAGAAAAAGGGTGATATGTAGAGATAAAAGCCCAAATCATAAGTTACAGAGCTGAAAGATTGATAGAATATTGAATTGAAATTGCTACAAACCAACATAGAATAATAATAATAATAATAATAATAATAATAATAATAATAATAATAATAATAATAATAATTGACAGAGATATTATTTCCGTTTACAAAGATAAAAGCTCATGCAAAAAGCCAAAGAGAACTCTTATTAATTTTAAAAATAAAAAATAGCATGCCTATAACTTCAAAAAGTTCTTTACTTCACAAACACAACAAAACCGAGAACCCAAAAAAAAAAAGAATTTCTAGAAATTATTATGAATCGATCAGGAACCTATGGAACCAGTAAATACCAGAAACTCTTGTCCATCAATTCTCTGAATTTTCAAAGAGCTGCTTCCTCAAAACATCATGCAATTTCCCAAAAAGTTCCTTTTTCAAAGAATCAAAAGCCAAATCCAGTCTTTCCAGCAGATCAGTAGAGTTCTTATTGTACATAAATAGCCCATTGTATAAATCGAAGCTATCGTTGCTAGTGTTCTGCACCAGCTTCAGCAGCGCCTCATACCCTTTGGTATCAATCGGGGTCGACTTCAGATCAAGTCTAGACAGCAAGCGCCCCACAGTATGTGTCAAAAACTGAGTCTCGGCAGCATTGGCATCATGATCGACACAAGACATCTCCACCATCCTGCAGCCCTCCCGCTCAAAAATATCAAGAAAGCTCTTGCACCGCTCAGCACGTTCATCGCAGTCCCCAATGCGTACCTTCTCAAAAACCAGAGGGAGGCCAGCCCAACCATCCTTGCCGCTCTCGGGGCCGAACATGGGGTGGGTGCAGAGGATGTCAAAATGAGGTGGGAGGTGCTTCAAAAAGAGGCTTTTCGGGAACTCCTTAACGGAGAGTACTTCAGTAAAGAGGGTGTTACGGCGGAGGCGTTGGATGGGAAGGGAATGGAGAACGGGAGCGGTGGAGAGGATGGAGGTGGAGAAGAGGACTACGTCTGGATGCTGCTCGCAGAGGTCATTGGGATCGGAGAAAAAAGAGGCGCCGAGAGACGCTGCGGCGGCAGAGTAGTCGGTGCGGGAATGAGCGAGAAGGCTGTGGCCCTGCCGGGCGAAGGTCTGAGCGAGGAACTGTCCGAAGTTGCCGAAACCAATAATGGCGATCTTGAGGCGTCCGCGCTGATCCAGGCGATCTGAGGCCCGGGCTTCCAGGTCGAAAAGCTGAGCGGCGTCCAGTGCACGGATCTCCGGATAATGGCGGCGCAGGCGACCTCCGATGGGGGCGGCAGCTAGGGCGGAGCCGAGGGTGTTGATGAGCATTGCCTAAAGGGCTGTTTGGTAGCCGGTTTTAAGCGGGAGAGGGCGTCGGATGTAGGCCAGGGCAGATGTGGGGAAGAGGGAGATAGATTTTGTGGGTTTTTATTTATTTATTTTTTTGTTTAAATTAATTTAATTAATTTAATTAATTTTATTGATTAATGACTAATGAATAATAATTAGTTTATATATTATCGAATTAATTATGATGAGATAAAATTAGATCTTATTATTTAATTGTTAGTTAATGAATAAAGATGTGTTTAAAATATTCAATTATTTAATAATATTTTATGTAATTCTTAATTTATATGATCAATGGTTAACTAATATCAATGGTTTAGATGTGTTTTCATATTCTTTTATGGATTTCTTATCTTCCTTTTTGTTTGTTCATTGAATGCTCACATGGGGAAACCACTTCTTCTAGACTTCTCCATGATATAATATTCACTTCAGAAGATAAGACAAGAGAGTGGTTTTGTTTCCACATTTCTTTATGGTTTGAAGTTAAGGAGTGGGACGTGTTTGTGAGAAACATGTCATATGATTTCCTCGTGTATTCTTGTATTTCTTCCTCTTTGATTAATCTTAGTGTAGGATGCCGTTCTAAAGTTTTTTTTAATCTTAGTGAAGGAGGAGATTGATCGAGTTGGAGGTTTTGGATGTGGTTTCCTCTTTATTTTTAGTCAGGCATAGCTCCGAGCTCATGGATTCTTATTATTTGTGGCTAATTTCAAGAAAGGAGAACTTTTTAAGATTTCTTTAAGAGATTTTGTTGTTTAATGCACTTATTTTTTGAAGCCATTTGTATTTCTATTTTCTAATGATACCCAACTTTTTTCTTAAAGTTTTTTAAGAGATTTTTGATTTAATGGACTTACTTATATGATTTTTTACATATATGATTTGTTCTGAAGTAAATTCGAAGGTTTTATTTATGTGGTTGATGGATATATGGAGGCATTGGTCATAAATTCAATGAATTTTGAAACTTGTGTTTTGTTTTTAAATTGCAGCATTATAACGGCTACTAGCTGTTGGATTTTGAAAGGTTTCAAAAACTTTGCAGATGTGAATTTAGATGAAAAAGCTTTGTGTGGAAAATTTGAGCTTCAGTCTATAAATCTTTGAGTGGCATTTTGAGAGGCTGGCAATGCACCGATTTCCTTATGAATTTAAGTGGTGTGTATGTAAATTTTTTAGTGGTATGTATGTAAATCTTTGGATGTTATTAGTCTAAGATTTGATAACTGGGTGGTATAGATGCAATCACATTTCTGATGTGCAATTTGGTGACTTTGGATGTGATGATCAAAAGTGGTTTGTTTATGTTAGAATAATCCCACCTTGTTGCGCCTCATTTTAATTCACAAGAAGCCAAGCATTTTCTTAAATGAAAGTATTAATAATTGGGATTCTAACTTGAATACAGCTTCCACCTATGATTCAAGAATCAAATCAACTTGTTATTTCCATTCATTGATGCACATGTTAGTTGGTTCATCCGGCTTGATGCCAACTTCCAGTTTCAGAAGGCAAAATCGATCAAGTACAGCTTGACAAAACCTAGAAAGGTTCTGAACATAGTACTTGTTGCTGACGTGCAGTTATTTGAAAGTGCCATGGCTAAGCAAGGCCATCCTAAGTTGGATGCAAAGGCTGGTGATATGACATTTTAATTTCTGAGAGCTTCTTAGCATGTAATATTTGTTCCAGAAGTAATCTTGAGAAGGTTCATCACCCTTAGTTCTGGAAGTTCAATCCAAACTCTCGTCTATAGATTAACATGGTTTTATGTTCCAGGACAAAATTTTAGAAGGCATATGAGATAGTAGATAATACACTACCTAGAGATTTTGCCCTTATTTTTTTAAGGACTTTAAAATCTAGGGTTCGAGGTTTCTGATAGGCGCGAGCCCTTATGGTTAATTACCTCCTCCCAATAACGGGAGAACACTTTTGATTAAGGCTGGTCATTAGGCATTAAGTATTCAGACTTAGCATATAATAACAACAAATTTGAAATCTTAAATTATAAAAATTATTACCACCGCAAGCTTAAAGCGAATGGTGGAGGAATGATGACGAACCGATCAAGATCTCATTGTTCCATCACCCCGGGTTTTCATGGTCCCAAGCCTACTAAGTCAGCGGAGATAGTCAACCCAAACTAATCGAAGGATCCTTGTCAGCAGTCATTAGTTGTTTCATTCAAAAGGAACTTGTAGACATAAGGTGAATATTTGTCTAAGGGGACTAATCTAAATCTACCTTAACTTATATAGGATTTTCTGCCCTGTCAAATCTATCATATGATTCAACACTCAAAATGTAGACTGTTCTTGAGGAACATATGGGCTACAGTCGTGACCGTAATATAATGATGTCATTTGATGGAAAATCATCCCGTAGAAGGCTATGATCATAACCATTTATTTGTGTGACATTTGATAGCAAAACCATGAGGACAGATGACTCGGGCCAAGTCCTTACCGGCGTAAGATTCATTATGAATATGAATTTAGTAGTATAATTGATATGATAGTGGTTCTTTGTGAGCTCAAATCAGTACTAAATTTATCCGTCTTGACAAACTGTTGTGGAGGGTAGATGAATTTTTCTTGGTATAAGCTTTCATTTAAAAATAAATTTTTTATGATTCAAAATATTTTAATTTTATAAATGAACCCCTCCAATTGAAATTTAAGATCGACACGGCCATCCTCGGGGAATGAACTTCTTAAATCTTGTCGACTTTGTCCCACTTACAGAGGATCAGATTCAATAATTGAAATAATTGAATTTGAAATAGACTTCGAGACATAATTTTAAAATAGACCTCTCCGATTGAGATTCGCTATCAACACGTTCACCATCGGGGATTAAGGTCTTTGAACCTCATCGACTGTCCCACTTACAAAGGATCAGGTTTAGTAATTGAAATAATTGGATTAAAATAAACTTTGAAGAATAATTTTAAATTAGACCCCTCTAGTTGTAATCTTCTGTCAGCTCGGTCATCATTAGGGATGCTGTAACTTACATTAAAAGCATCAGTCTTGTCAACTCCAGTCCTAGTAAGAAGAAGGTTCGTCTTGTCGACTTCATTCCTTGTATGAAGGAGGATCGGATTGAATAAAGTGGGGGATCAATCTTGTCAAATTTAGTCCGTGTAGGGAATCAGATTGGCTAACGCATGGGACTTACGACCTTGTCTTATAGGCAAGGCGGCCTAGTTGAGAACGTATGCATTTACATATATTTGAATCTAACGTTTTAAAAAATTAGATTTCTACAAAGCTTTGATACGTGTGCATGTTTCCCAGGGTAAATTGTATCTTTGCTTAAGCATGCAGCAAACCCGCGCAACATTCTCACATGCTTAAATTTAGTAAATCTGGACAAGCGACAGAGAACATGCGCATGTTTAATTTTATTGAATTGATTTGACTTTTAATTAGTGTAACACGTATTTTGAGGTATATTTGATTTGAGTTTAAATATTGTTTTAACCCACACAACATTCTTGAACCTTGTTTTTTAGTAATTAGCATGTTAGTATGAGCACATGCGGTATATTATATTTGTTGAGTTGTGATATTACAAAATTATGCACATATTTAAGTGTAGATTAGTTTGATCTTAAGCATTTATTTAACTCTTCTGACATTCCCGTACCTAGTTTTTGAGCGATTAAAATGTTGGTCGGAGCAGATGTTTTAAATATTAATTTTAACTGACTTTTAGGTGATTTTATTATTATCTACACAAGGATATCATCATTAAAATGTGTGCAAGTATTTTCACTTTAGCTTTTAATTTTGCCTTGTGTCCGCTTGTATATTTGAGGTTGCGGATCTTGTGGTGAGCAAATGATTTAGTGTGTATATCACAAGTTTAGTCAAGCTCGTTGACAAGTCATCGAGTCGCTCGTAAATTTGGTGTAGGAACTTTATAATTGAACTAATTAGTTTGCTGCAGGTTTCATTCGAGCTCATTGACAAGTCGTCGAGTCCCCTAAGCATGCATGATTTGGTCTTAAGCCTTTTAGTAAGATGTCTTTTGTCCACTTGTATAGTTGGATTGTGGATCCGGTGACGATTAAGGTGAATAAAGACTTTGATTTTTTATTATACATCTGTCCCATACTTAGCTCCCAATTGAATGTTCAAGTGGAACCCCCACAGGTTTCATTCGAGCTCGTTAACGAGTCGTCGAGCCCCCTGTGAGTCGTGCAAGTCCTACTTATATTTAATCTCTTCTTTTAAGATGATTTAAATAATCATTTCAATCTTTAATATGTGGCTTAGGAACTTTCATTTAATTGCATTTTTGTTAAAATAAGTTTAATTGAGCTACTCTTTTATAACCGGTGCTCCGAAGAAAATTTGACTTTATTTCAGCAACCTCCCAACGCCGTCCCTGTTTAGGATGCTGCTTCGGGAAACAGGGGTCTTCCTACCACTTAAAAAAACATGCATAGTCAGTGTTTTTCGACATTGCAAAAATAATAACACACACACACACAGAGTCATTCTTGTCGCATCAATTCGTCACGGGCTGGTTTTTGACCCACCACGCTTAAAAAAACATACATGTGTCTTGAGACAACTACAAGAAGAGAAATCACATATCATAGCAAAAAAAACTTTCTTCATATCAACAAGTGGCTGTTTATGATAAGGCAACATCTATCTCATGCATGTCAATTCATTTAGTCATTTCTTCTTCTATTTGATGAATTGTGAAAACATACTAATAAGCTTTGAAGTAAGAGCAACACCATTCCACCCAAAACTCTTAACCAAGCACTCAACATTTTATCTTTGGACCCAGCCATGCACCTTTCTGCTTCCACTTCCTATGTGTGATCTCTGCAACCATTTCATTTATGTTTCTCTGCATTCCGAATGATCCAACCATGGTGCAAACAATGCATGTGTCTGGTTAGAGACGACAGCTGTCTCAGTGGAGATCAGGCGTATCGCTGCCTTTAGCTCTTTTTTTTATGTAAGTTTGTTTATTATTTGCAAATGAGGTGGAGCATCTTGATTGTGTGCAAAC